CTTGAATGATGTGTGCTAAGTTTCGTGAAAATCGGTTCAGATTTAGATATAGCTCCCATATATATTTTCGTCCGATTTAAGGTAAATGAGGTACTAAAGTCCATATATATCTTTCGATTTGCACGAAATTTGGTATAGCCTACTGAATTAGGTCTAGAACGATGTGTGCTAAGTTTCGTGAAAATCGGTTCAGATTTAGATATAGCTCCCATATATAGTTTCGCCCGATTTTAGGTAAATGGTGCACCAAAGTCCCTGAAAATCATTTGATTTGCACGAATTTCGGCATAGCGTATTGAATTAAGTCTAGAATGACGTGTGCTATGTTTCGTGAAAATCGGTTCAGATTTAGATATAGCTCCCATATATAGTTTCCCCCGATTTAAGGTAAATGGTGTACCAAAGTCCCTATATATTGTTCGATTTGCACGAAATTTGGCATAACCTACTGAATTAGGTCTAGAATGATGTGTGCTAAGTTTCGTGAAAATCGGTTCAGATTTACATATAGCTCCCATACATAGTTTTGCCCGATTTTAGGAAAATGGTGCACCAATGTCCCTGAAAATCATTTGATTTGAACGAATTGTGGCATAGCGTATTGAATTAAGTCTAGAATGACGTGTGCTAAGTTTCGTGAAAATCGGTTCAGATTTAGATATAGCTTCCATATATAGTTTCGGTCGATTTTAGGTCAATGGTGCACCAAAGTCCCTTTTTATCGGGATGAATTTTGGTATAGCGTACTAAATTAAGTCTAGAATGATGTGTGCTAAGTTTCGTTAAAATCGGTTGAGATTTGGATATAGCTTCCATAAATAGTTTCGTCCGATGTTAGGTAAATGGTGCACCAAAGTCTCTGAAAAGTATTCGATTTGCGTGAATTTTGGCATAGCGTATTGAATTAAGTCTAGAATGATGTGTACACCTCCTAAATATATTTTCGTCCGATTTTAAGTAAATTGTGCACTTAAAATCCACAGCTAGGCCGATAGACACAACGCACTGAAATTAATATAAATTAATCTCTGGCAAGTTTGCTTCAAATCGGTTCATATATAGATATATCGTAGCTTCCATACATAATTTCGACTTATTTATGTTTACTGTACACCAAATTATCAATAGGTGTCTGATTGAGATTAAATTTTAAACAGTGCAGGTTCCAGAAAGATATAATAATCACATATTTAAGTTCGTTCAATTTCATGTCAAAATTCCTTCAAAAAGGCGTCGACTTGTCGGATACATATGTAGAATCTACCCAACGTGGTGAAGGGTATCATATAGTCGGCCCAGTCCGACTTTACTACTTTCCTTACTGTTTTTTTTTTGAATTGTGGGACGAAACTTTCAGCGTCTCTAGATTGTGGGCCATTGAATTCAAAAATTTGATTTGTATCCTTTTTCTTATCAGGATAATCGGCAGTATAAATTTTTGGGCTGTGGGCTTATGCTCACACTGGCACTGTTCGGTTACAGGGTTTTTAGATGATTTATTGATCGTATTATGAGTGTGACCATATGGTCACGCTAGCACAGCTCGGGTTATTTTTTAATAAAAGTGGATTTTCTAAAAAAAATAAAAAATAAATAAATAAAATTAGCGAAACTTAGGAAGTTTCGTTATAGAAATTGAAAATACTTGCCACACTTATTAAAAGCACCTCGCATTACTTGTTTCTTTTCATAATATTTGTCATCGTAATATTTAATTTTTTCCGAAATAATTAATTTTCAATCTGTTTTCACAATAATTTGTCGATTTATTTTAGCGTTTTTTTTTTCTTTGTTCAGTCAAAAGACAAAATATTTTGAAAATTTATTGAAGTCACATTTGAATTTTGAAATAAACAAATTGGATTTTCAAATTTTTCGCGCCAAATTTGCACTGTATTGTGCATAAAATGCGCAATACAGCTGCTTAACGTTTGTCATTTGGCACTTTTATAGACAAGCACACATACACACATACACATGTATTCCTATTTTTAATATTGCGGACATTTCTAAATCGTCATAGAATCAAAAAACAATCCAGAATTTATGTGCGAACATTTTTCATGGCCGCTCAAGTTGTTGTTGTTGCATATGGTATTTTTTTGGTTGCAATCAAAAATGTTTAATGGGGTGGAACGAAACACACATTTTATATTCTCTGATATTGAGTTTTTAAACATTCTCAGGATATAATTATATCATTTAATTTATATTTAAATATAAATATTCTTGATCAGAATAAAAATTCTATGTCGATTTTGAATGTTCCTCTGTTAAAATCATGCAGTGTTTAAGATATAGCTTTGACATTTTGCATATACATTGCTATTACTTCTACGAGGGTTGGTATTGCAAATGGTGTATGTCGGTCCACATTTTGGTGTATTTTGAAGTTTTTTGCGGCATTTTCCATCCAAAGTGGCTAAAACGTTGACATATCGGATTCTTGGAGGGTGCGAAACAAGGTTGCCAAAAATGTTTAATATAGGCACATATTTTGACATAATATCCTCATAATTATCCCGCCTCATTCTCGGCAGGTTTTTAGTGGCATTTTACCACCGTAGTGACTGTAATTTGACATTCCAGTTTCTTAGGGGTGTGAAAAAAGTCCATGTTTTGACATATACTCCATATCAAGATCCCGCCTCATTTTCGGTATTTCGAAAGACTTATCCGCACCACCGAAGTGACTATAATTTTGCATTCATGTTTCATGGAAGGGAAGAATCGTCTTGTTTATATTGGCTCATGTTTTGGCATATCCATCCTAATATAAAGGCCCCCCTAAATTTTTGTATTTTTAAGCATGTCTCCACCGAAGTTTCAGTAATTATTCATTACGGATTTTTTAATTTGTCATACATCCCTGAATGTTTGTTTCATGTTTGGCGGATTTACCCATTGAAGTGTCTGTAATTTGACATTGGAGGATGAAAAGACATCTTGGCAGAAAATGTTACGACTCAAATGCTGCCTAATTTTTACTATTTTGAAGGTTTTAGAAACATTTCTGCACCGGTAGTGCTATGCAGAAATTGTGTTCTTTATAGGTCCATGTTTTGACATCGCCATCGTAATATAAAGGCCTTTAGAAACTTTTGGCCACATTTGCCCACCGAAATGACTGTAATTTGACATTCCAACTTCTTGGAGGCTGAGAAATATATTTGCTGATTATTATACCCTTCACTACGCTGTGGTACAGGGTATTATGTCTTTGTGCATATGTTTGTAACAGGCAAAAGGAAACGAGATAGACCCATGGTTCCTTTTGAGAATATGCATAGAATCACTTTCTGAGTCGATTTACGCATGTCCGTCTGTCCGTCCGTCTGTCTGTCCATGTATTTTTGTGAGCAAAGTACAGGTCGCATTTATGATCCGAATTGGATCAAATTTGGCACAGCTCATTTGTTTGGCACAAGGACGAACCCTATTGAAATTGGGAAAAATCGGTCCAGATATATATATATATATATATATTCGTCCGATTTTATGTAAATGGAGCTCCCATATATATTTTCGTCCGATTTAAGGTAAATGGTGTACCAAAGGTCCTATATATCTTTCGATTGGCACGAAATTTGGTACAGCGTACTGAATTAAGTCTAGAATGATGTGTGTTAAGTTTTCTTAAAATCGGTCCAGATTTAGATATAGGTCCCATATATATATATATATATATATATATATTCGTCCGATTTTACGTAAATGGTGTACCAAAGACCCTACATATCTTCCGAAATTTGGCATAGTGTTTCTTGAAAATCGGTCCACATTTAGATATAGATCCCATATATATTTCCGTACGATTTAAGGTAAATGGTGCACCAAAGTCCCCATATATCTTTCGATTTTAAGATAGCGTTCTGAATTAAATCTAGAATGATGTGTGCAAAGTTTCGTGAAAATCGGTTCAGATGTACATACACCTCTATATATATTTCCGTCCGATTTTAAGTAAATGGTGCACTAAATATCCATAGCTTGGCCGATTGACACAACGTACTGAAGTGAAATCGGTTCAAATATAGATATAGCAAAGCTTACATATATAATTTCGAATTTAGGATACATATGCTGAATATACCCAAGTGGTGAAGGGTATCACATAGTCGGCCCAGTCCGACTTTACTACTTTCCTTACTGGTTTGTGATATAGGTTCATGTTGTGGACATACCGTAATATACAAGTCCCGACCCTATTTTTCGTATTTTGAAAATGATTAATATTGGCCCAAGTTTCGGGATAGCCCCTCTACAACGGTACTCCCCCGTATTCGGTATTTTGCGGTTGTTGGACATGTTTTTCAGTCGAATTGGCTTTATGAATATATTTTGGATTCTAATTATGCGTCAATCTCACAATCACAAATTATCAATATTGGCCCCCACATAACAGTCCTCCACTCCATTTCCGGCATCCTAGAGGTCTAAAATCAGCATTACGACGAAGACCATATATAATTATATTTACCCTCAACATCGTTATACTCTAATATACCACCACAAAATATAATTCTATGGCGGTTAGTGGAAAGCAATGACCGTGCACTAGAAGTGCAGGCAGCACAAATTTATTTCATAATTTTAATTTGACAAATGGACATTGGCATCTTTGTTTTACGTATCACAACTACGCGTCCATTCATCGATACACAACAAATTCACCACGCACACACACCACACATGAACTATATTTCACCATCAAAAATTATTCACCATTAATTTATAATTTTTTTGTTGCTAATTTCGAGGAACATTTTCAAAAATATTAAAGTCCAATTTTTTAAGCGCCCACACACATTAGAACACTATCAACAAATTTTTGTTGAACTGAATTTCACCACCACCATGCATTAGCCAGTTGCATTCACGAATAAACATATTTTTGAGGAAAATATTTGTTTCAGTCCACAGCCGAACGTCCAAGACTTTGAAACATTTAAAAGTGAAATAAAAAAAGAAAGAAAAAAATAAAATTTTTATAAGACGCAATGGAAGTCCTTAAATTTGCTGTAAATTTGTGTCAAAAGGATATCACGGCCCTTGAGGGTAGTGCAGTCCGTATTGAGTGTGAAATAGTTTGTGAGGCTGATCGTAAAATTATTTGGTATCAAAATGATCAGCCACTTGAAGAATCGGAACGCATTCAAATTCTCGCGGAAGCAAATAAAGCGGTTTTGATTATCAAGGATATTAAAAAGGACGATGCTGGCGTGTATAAAATTGTGGTTAGCAATGGTGCCGATGAAATTACCGATACTTGTAAGGTGAATGTAACAACACCTACAGAAGTTGGAGATAAATCTGAAAATAAGGAAGTAGTTGCACCAGAATGTCCTGTGGAAATAAATACCATTATAACTCCACCAACACCAGATCTAGCCAAGGGAGACAGCGTTTTTCTGGACACCAATGTGGTGGATGGTAAGACCGAGGCTGAGAATTCTGTCGAGCAAAAAGAAGTTGTGGCTGCTGCAATTTCGTCCGAACCCACCGCAACAGAATCAGTTAAGGTTGCAACGGAAAATATTGAGTGTGGCATAGAGGCTGTAGAGGCCTCAAAACAATCGGATACATCATCGGGCATAACACAAGAAAATTCGCAAAATCAAGAGGTAGCGAAAAATGAAACTGATTCCAAAGATGTCGAAGTCGTAACATCTTTAAAGGAAACCGAAAACTCTGCGCCTCAAACTGAAGATACAAAAGCAGAAAATATACCATCTGCCACAGAAACTCAAGCAACTTCTGATAAATCAACTGATGTACCTGCTTCTGATCTTAAAGGAGAAAATCCACCATCCGCCACAGAAACACAAGCATCTTCCGACAAGTCAACTGAAATACCAGCCTCTGAAGTTAAACAGGATGTGGCTACCGAAGTAAAGCCACCAGCAGTGGAACAACCAAGTGTTGAATCTTCAGAGGTAACAAAACCGACAACCTTGACAGAACAACAACAAACAACAGAGGTACCGGAAAGTCCAAAGGAGGAAAATGTAAAAGCTACAGAAGTTCCCAAATCTCAACCAGTGGAAACTCCCCAAACCGATGAAAGCAGTCAACAGCAAGCTGATAACACGAAGACCACCGATGAAATAAAATCCCTAGCAAAATCGGAACCAACTGATACTTCCCAAGATAACAATAAATCTGAAAATTCTACCAATGTAACAACAGAAACTCAAACGCCTAAGGAGGAAACTCCAAAAGTTGAAGAAACAGCCCCAGCAGATATTACCTTGGATCCATTAACCACTTTACCAGCAGATGAAACTAAAAATGAAACTTCAGATTCTAATCAGCAATCGAAGGATACACAAACTTCTGAATTACCAGCTGTAACAGATTTGCCAACAACAATAGCGGAAACTTGCCAAACGGAAGTTACATCATTGCTAACCCAGGCCTTGGGGGCCGTGGACACTAACCAACCCCCGAAGGAGTGCGGTGCTGAAGTTGAAACTCAAACACCCAAAGAAGAAACTGCACAACTTTCAGAACCTGGTACAAATATTGCATCTACTACTGATAGTTCAGCAGTACAATCAGCTGTCCCTGAAGCTCCCCAAAATCAATCGGAACAATCTGGTGATGGAGCTAAGGATACTACAACTGAAATTAAACCTTCCACTGAAGAGACAAATAAATCTGAGGAGCCAGGACTAGTGGAAACGAGTGGTGAAGTGAAACTTGAGACCCAAACTTCAACGGTGGAACCAGTGGTAGCTGACACCAATTCTGCAGGAGTTGTAGCTACAGAAGATCAAGTAAAGGTATGCGAAGCCGTTGCTCCACCAACCGATCAAGTTCCAGCAGAAATATTAGCCGAAGTTTGTCCAAAAGAAGGAACAGCATAAGGTCCCCATTTTATTAACTCTTCGATATATAAATTAACATATTTTTTATTCGACGATTTTATTAGATATAGAAATAATTCCATTGGATCCGTTCGAATTTGTATATATATAACCAAAAATATTAAAATATTTAATAAACAGATAACAGAGGACGTGTGTAATTGATTATCCCATAATACGAGGGCAGTTCGGAAAGTTCTTAGCCTAGCGCTATTTTGCTATAAACAGAAAAATTTTGTTTCGATCTGGCAACTCCTTCATTTAGAAACAGGTGTTCAAAAAAGACAAGGGAAAATTAGAAATGCGAGCTTTCATTGTAAAAAAAATTGCGGATGCGCCTGTTTCTATATGAAGGAGTTGCCAGATCGAAATAAAATTTAACATGTGTTCATAACAGAGATGGAAGTTTACAAAACACTTAGACAGAAGTCTATATCGCGCTCTCATCACATTTTTATAAACGATAAATCTAGTTATAGATGTACTACAATGCTGATATCCATTTTAACCGATGCTGATATTTGGAAGGATGAAAATTCGGATTTTTTAATTTTTTTTTTGAAAATTCGGCCATATTATAAACTGACAGTGCACTGTCAAGATTTTTTTGGAATATGTTTTGAAATACATTTGAATTTGTAGTTAACGGCCCTGCAGAAATATACAGTTCCGCTATTTTATATTTCTCCAAATTTTCTGTAATTTTGAATTTAATCTTCTAGAGTGAATATAAGTCCGATTTTATATAAATAGTCCACCGAATACACTATGTATGTCCGATTGCACAAAATTTAGCATACCGCTCTGTATAGAATCTGGAATAATGTGTGTCAAATCAGCTTTAAATTGATTCATGGCAATGATCATGACCTTGGTGGACAGTTGATATCTCCAATGCAATAAAACCATTTTTGTTCGGGTTGTGTGACATGTGGCAAAATCTTTTTTAAATCACATATTCTCAATAGCACATACTCATCAATAGTAGTGTGAGCCAGATATCCCATTTTTTGGTCATAATTAGAGCGGTGGCTTCATTAAATAAATAGTATCTCTGATTACGATTCTGCAAGGAAAATGTAAAAAAACACAAGGCTGGATCGAAAAATGCGGTCAATTTGTTTTCAAGTTGAACTGATCAAATTATTTTCGAATACATTTTGTAGAGCTATGGTCACTGATTACAAATGTGAAATCAAATTTTGAAAATCCAATAAAAAAATCCAAAATGGCGGATAAAATATAAGAAAAGAACTTAATATTTAATTTCTTGGCAATATTTAAAATAAGAATAGCCTGAAATCGTATTTTTATGTATTATGGTCTAAAAACTATGACATACCTTAATTAAATTTCGATTATAGCTCAATATCCTTAACACTAGAACGCCGAAGGCGGTCATTTTGACCGCTTTCCAATTTCAAGTACAAAAGCATCTGTGCATTTAATGACACTTTTTTTAAAATTTGGTGAATTTTTTATAATAAACGTAATTCTATGAGGTACAAAAAGTCACCATATTTAAAAAAAGTGTCATTAAATGCACAGATGCTTTTGTACTTGAAATTGGAAAGCGGTCAAAATGACCGCCTTCGGCGTTCTAGTGTTAAGCTACCAAAATAATGAGAATTCCGTTTATATGGGGTCTACCCCGAAACCTGAGTCAATGTTGATAGTTTTTGGGTACGAAGGTAAGGCTAATACCTTCCAATTTAATCATCAGTAAAAATAAGTCATTTCGTTTTCGATGCAGAGCGCATAAAACAGTGATTTTTTTGGATTTAATGACCTCTCTTCAATTACTTGAGGATTCTCGGAACCACAAATACAACAATTGTGTGTATTAACATACCCTCAGAGCGAGAAATGTAATCCATCGCTGAAGAAAATATTGTTCGAAAAATTGCCCTTCCAAAACCTGTTGTTCAAGTACCCATTTCAGGTATCTACGACGTTGCAAATGGGTCAGCTCGTATAATTTTTTGCGCGAGCTGCTCTTTATATGGACGTAGGCGTAGATCTAAATGCAAAATACGCAAAAATGTCTGATGGGGCTGTCTCATCAAACATTTTGGCGTATTCCTGAGAACGAGGAGAAATCGACACATTCGGGTCTTCGGCAACACTTTCAATTATAATTAATTGATTGTGTAAACCATAATCTCCTCCTGTGGCAGTGGCAGAGACAAAGATATCTGAATATCGGGTTCAAAATTTTTGAAAACCAGTTCTCTCTTCCTCGAAATGTATTTTTTCAAGTATTTGGCATAACTAAATATAAAACCAGTGAGCGGAGCATTATAGTCGGATGAGGCCGACCATATGATACCCTACACAACTTCCACGAAACTATAACTTTCTGTGGTTCTATATTCTGAGCTTGGGCAATATTTCGCGATATTTGCACCCTCTTGACCGACTAGAGGTCAACAAATATTACAAATGTTCAGTACAGCCCTTCTTATCACTTGTCCAGATTCCCATCACCGTGTTGTGTTGTGATGTTCGGCTGTCATATACCACTCCTCTTGAACATACTATCAACTTCTCGGATCTAGGACCTTCAGGTGTAAATATATACCCCGTAGAATACAAATTTTGTAATTTTTCACACAAAAGTCAGGATCCATTTGGCCCGATCTCTTCTACGTGCAAAAATTCGCGGTGTTTGGGTCATAATTGCGGCCTCTGGAGCGACCAGAAAAACCGACAAAAATAAAGTTTTTGGTCCATTTCATCCCCTAAATATTAACCGATCTTTTCCAAAAACAATAGGGGTCTTCATTGACCAGAACCCATCATACATGCAAAATTTCGTGAAGATTGGTATTTAACTGTGGCCTGTATCGTGTTTACAAATTATAATGGACAGACGGATGGACGGACACATGTCTAGATCGACTCAGCTAGTCGATATATGACGATCGGTATACTTAAAGGTGGGTCTAGGACCAATATTTCGCGGCGTTACAAACTTTTGGGGCTGCGCAAAGCTATAATACCCTGACAACATAGTTGTGTAGGGTATAAAAATTGAAATATGAAATATTGAAATACATAAAAATAAGGTTTTAGTGTTAAGACATAGGTAAAATTTAGAATAGACCATCAAAACGCTAAAATGACGATTTCTCGTCATTGAGGACCTCACCTAAAATCTAATGAGCAACTTTTTTTTTGTAGAATATTACGAGATCTCGCATCTTGTAATAATTGGGGTCCGGTTCAGTAACAACTAAGGGCGAAAAGGACTTACAAGGAATAGAGTTAGAATGACGAATCTTCTACAAAAAAAATCCTCATTCGATGTTACTGAAGAAATGTAATCTCCAATTATACAATTACACACAATTGGTACAAATCAAGATATCAAGCTATCTATTCATGAATAATATGGTCGACAGAAAAAAATAATAATTTCCGAACTTTGATCAATGGCAAATTTTTCCTTTAGTGGTTTTCATATATTCACCAAGGTTTTTATCCCAAATAGGAAGTATTCCACACCACCAAAATCGTTTTGTGTGTTCAAAGCACTATTTTAACTATTGCGAACTATGATGTGATTTCAACAGACGGATATTGGTAAATCGCGATAGAATTTTATTCGGATCAGGAATATACACTTTACAAGATCTCCGGTGAATGTCTTTGTGCATATGTTTGTAACAGGCAAAAGGAAACGAGATATACACATAGTTCCTTTTTAGAATATGCATAGAATCACATTTTAAGTCGATTTATACATGTCCGTCCGTCCGCTTATCTGTCTGTCTGTATGTCCATGTTAAATTGTGAGCAAAGTACAGGTCGCATTTATGATCCGAATTGGATGAAATTTGTCATAGGTCACTTATTTGGCCCAAGGACGAACCCTATTAAAATTGGGAAAAATCGGTCCAGATTTAGATTTAGCTCCCATATATATTTTCGTCCGATTTAAAGTAAATGGTGTACCAATGTCCCACATATCTTTCGATTTGCACGAAATTTGGCATAGCGTAATGAATTATGTCTAGAATGATGTGTGTTAAGTTTCCTGGAAATCGGTCCAGATTTAGATATAGCTCCCATATATATTTTCGTTCGATTTAAGGTAAATGGTGCGTCAAATTACCTAAATATCTTTCGATCTGCACGAAATTTGGCACAGCGTAATTATTTAGGTCTTAAATGATGTGTGTTAAGTTTCCAGAAAATCGGTTCAGATTTATATATAGCTCCCATATATTTTCGTCCGATTTTATGTAAATAGTGCACAAAAGTCTCTATATATTCTTCGATTTGCAGGAAATTTGACATAGCGTACTGAATTGATACTAGAATGATGTATGCAAAGTTTCATGACAATCGGTTAAGATTTAGATATAGCACCCATATATATATTATATATTCATAAAAATATAAATATTTCATTATCCGTAATGATGTGTCCAACACAAACATTGTTTATAACTTATATCTGTTTATATTGGCCAAAACAACTGGCCTTCGCAATTGACTAATAAAACTCAACTCATCTAATATAACCAAAAATAAATTGCATTTGCTTTATGACGAAGTAGGAGGTGGTGGTAATTTTTGGCATGACAAGTAAAAACAAATGCCCGCCACAGAAACGACGTCATTTAGTTTTGTGTGTGTGTGTGTTTTTTTTTTTTTTTGTTCAAAACATCTTCAGCGAATCAAGGAAATATAGGATCACAAAAATAGAATCCACAAAAATGTTTCAATCATCGTTGCATTTGTCGCATCTGTTCATTCAAGTAATTAAAATAGTTTGGCCTAGTGGGTGGATGGTTGGTGGAATTACAGGCAGGCAGTCAATTGAAAATAATTAGGAACCAATTGAATGAAACAACGAGAAAAACGATGAGGAAATAGTGAAATTGCGTTTTATATAAACAGTATGTTATGATTGGTCTAAATAAAACCAAATATTGCAATTATTTTTGGAGTCAATAAAAGCGAATGAATGAGGAAGGTAGGAAATGTAGGGCTTGTTTTTATACCCTACACAACTATGTTGTCAGGGTATTATAGCTTTGTGCAGTCCCAGCAGTTTGTAACGCCGCGAAATATTGGTCCTAGACCCACCTTTAGTCATATCTCGACTAGCTGAGTCGATCTAGACATGTGTGTCCGTGCGTCTGTCCATTATAATTTGTAAACACGATACAGTCCACAGTTATGGATCAATCTTCACCAAATTTTGCGTGGAGAGTACGTTCGGCCCAATGAAGACCCCTATTGTTTTTGGTAAAAATCGGTTAATATTGTGGGGGATGAAATGGACCAAATACTTAATTTTCGTCGGTTTTTCTGGTCGCTCCAGAGGCCGCAGTTATGGTCCGAACATCGTGGAATTTTACAGGGAGAAAAGGATCGTGCCATAGAATAAGCATGCCTGTTTTGATAAAGATCGGTCAATTTTAGCGGGTCAAATGGACCCTGACTTTTGTGTGAAAAAGTTTCCATTATTTGGTAGGAAATTAAATAGCTCCAATATAAAATTCGCAGACCTCATATAAAGCTTCATCCCTTTTATTGATATTACGGCTGTGATTTGGCACTTCGGGAACTTTTTTGTAAAAAAAAACTATGAAGAACTATTCTATGAAGAACATTTTCAATATAAGTCCATGTTTCTATACAAAGTGTATGCGTCATTTTCGGTACGTTCAAAGTTAAAGCATAATTTTCCGTCCAAGTGTATAGAGTTTGATATTCGTTTTCTTCTGGCAGCAATTTACCATGGCATGGTATCTATGTAAAACTAGCGATAGATTTTAGATAAAATATTTTGCCTGGTCGAGCTAAACGATAGTTTTAAATTTAGGTCGTCATTTGTTGTACCTTGCTGAAGATAGTAAACAATTTAGTCAGAATTTTGGACACCATACATCCACCCCTTGCGTTAGTTCGCTAAATAAAGTGGGAGAAGGGCAGCAAAATTGCTCAACCATGACACATACACTCTAACTCCAAATATCTGGTAAAAACTGTCAGTCAGCAACACTTTCTAGCTTGTTGCGTCAAACTATAACCAAAGTAAGCATTAAAAAGGCTCAAATGTCCCATGAATTTTACTTCATATCTTTCAAAAATAGCGGTTTACACCGAACATTTCCATGTAACTATTTATGTACATTTTCAAAATGTAATTGACATCTTCAGATCAATTAGTGGAACCTACTGTATAATAAAACAGCTGTGTATAGCGTGACGTATCACAGCTAATATAGCAGAGAATATTATTTATCATATTTCTTAGAAGATTTGTGAAATGAAATTATTCGCCCACTTAGAGGTCGGTCTTTGATCTTTGTGAACAGAGGCAGCGGCAAGTGTGTGAATAATAGAATGTGGACAATATGTTAACGTTTTCCAACACTGGTACGTTAGCCACCCACACGCTCAGCATCAACAACAGAAATTACGATGCTCATCGAAAAACAAAACGTTAAAAGTAAATGATATTAAAAATTAGTCATTCGACACATAATCGATTTCGAAAATTGTCATCAGTATACGTAGAGACGCCAAACCGTCAGCCATCATTTAAATTGTTTTTCTCTAAGAAAATATTAAAAAAAATATATACAAACAATGTCTTCAGAACAACACTACGATACCGATAATGATGAGGAAACCGAAATGGAAAGAAATGTCGTCAAGGAGGGAGCATCAAAAAAGGAATATCTAGAATTCTTGAAATATATTGGCGATAAAAAGGCGAAACTAGGTGAAAGTGTCAAATTCAAAACTATCATCATTGGAAAACCTGTCGTCTATATTCAGTGGCGTTTTAATGGTGAATATCTCGAAGAGGGCAACGAAAACTTTGAAATGTCCTCAAAGGGAAATCATTATATGCTAACGGTTAAGAAAATGTCGCCCGAAACCGTTGGTTGTGTAGAAGTTGTTGCCAGAAATCATGTTGGTGTTGCATGCTTTCAAGTTCAATTGGAGCTGGAAGAATAAAGGGAAGTGTATGAGTTGTTGATGGTTGATTAGTTTGTAAAAACTTGTAATTTAAATTATTTAATAAATAATTTTAATAAAATATAAACAATAAAAATTATGTGGTGTTTTTTGGAAGGGAAAGTGTAATTTGGCATAACCCGTTTTTTCGGAAACTTCCATTAAAATAATTTTAAGCAGTAAGGAAAATAGTAAAGACTAAGTGGGCCGACTATATGATACCCTTCATATAGTCGGCCATTCTATAAGCTATGCTAAATTTTGTAAATCGACTAAAAGCAAATTGAACACACGCTGTTGGGTGTGCTGCACTGTTTAAAATTTAATCTCAATCAGACAACCTTTGATTACTTGGGGTACAATTAACATGAATAGGCCGATTTGAAGGAAACTTGCCGAGATCAATTTAAATTAATTTCATTACGTTGTGTCAATCGGCCTAGCTGTGGGTCTTTAGTGCACCAATTACTTAAAATCGGACGAAAGTATAACATATAGGAACTACATGTAAATAATTAAAAAAACTTGACACACGTAAAGTTAAACTAACTTAAGTACATTCTACAAAATTGTGTGTCAATCGGCCAAACTTTGGGTCTTTAGTGCACAATTTACATTAAATTGGAAGAATATGTATATGGGATCTATATTTAAATCTGAACCTATTTTCACGAAACTTGACACACATCATTCTACACTCAATTCCGTACGCTATATCAAATTTCGTGCAGACCGAAAGATATATAGGGACTTTGGTGCACTGTTTACATAAAATCGGAGGAAGATATATATGGGAAATATATCTAAATCAGAACCGATTTTTACGAAACTTAAATCACACCACTCTAGACTTTGCAGTACGCTATGCCAAATTTCGTATAAATTGCTAAATATATAGGGACTTCGGTACACCATTTACCATAAAACGGACGAAAATATATATGGGAGCTATATCTAAATCTGAACTGTTTTTTACCAATTTCAATAGGGTTCGTCCTTGGCTAAATAATTGTGCTGTGCCAAATTTCATCCAAATCGGATCATAAATGTGCTTTGTTTACAATTTATACAACAACAACAATTTTATGTATTTATTCATAAATTGTACAACTAATTGGAATGTCTGTTTTTATAATGATCGATCAAAAAATGATATTTCTTAAAAGATATCAGTGAGTAAGAAAGAAGAGCTACTAACATTTAAGTTTTTTGAATCTACACTAATTCTATAATGTCCCTATAAAATTTCAAGTAAAAAATCTCAAGAACTCTTGAAAATATAACCGATTTATTGTGTCAGCATCAAGTGACGACAAGAGTGATTCTCAAACTTCAAAGAAGCAGTGTTTTTACGACTGGCGGGCACGATAACTCAGAAACTAATAATTCAATCGGTTCCAAATTTTGACACGTTTCTCTGGGAGTGTATATCTATCGTATGAACTAGGATAAAGTCAATCGGTGAAGAACTTCCTTATTTTTTAACTTTGTTTTTGGTAAAAAATAGGAGAATTTCAAAAAAAAAAAAAAATCAAAGGGCCGCCATTTTGTTACTTTTTTTAACGAAGTTCATACGAGAGCCAGATATGTACCCTTTTTAACACACTTGGAATTTACGGATTCCGATGTTCCAGTGAGGATTACTTTGTATCATGTTCGCCATCAATGTGGTGCAACCCCCATATGCATTTTCCAAACTTTTTCGATATAAATGCCAAATACAAGATATCAAACAAGTGTTGATACGGAATGTTTAAATTTGTATATGCCATGCCGAGGGATTGGAAGCTAAATGCACATTTTTGCGGAAAATTAACTATATAGGTACATGCTCTGATTGTTATGTTTAGTAACGGATTTTTCTCATTGGAGTGGCTGTAATATGGTATATCGGATTGCTGCTGATGAAAAAACTTATTTTCCAAAATAATTCAATAAAGGTTAATATTTTAAATGACATCTTTAATTTTCGGTATTTTGAAGTTCCTATCCAAGTTTTTCAACCTTTTTAGAAATGATATTTATCACAAAATGAGGGCTACACTAAAAATGGACCAATATTGATCCTTTTTAGTGGGAAGATTTTCTAAACATGGAGAATGCAAAATTACATCAAATAATGTAGAAAAACGTAACCAAGATCTTCAAAATATAGAAAATTGGGCTACCCTAAAAAGGACCTATATATCCCATTTTCAATACCAAACATCCTTGGAGTAGTAGCAATGTATGTGCAGAATTTCAAAATCTGACGACAGCTTCGAATTTTATTCAGATTAAGATTAAATGGGGTCTCAGGAGAATATTTGGTTGTAATGGAAACAAATTCATTATACCCTCGTGAAGGGTTTGATTGAATCCTTCGATTGCATATCGATATTAAAGGTATGGATATGATCAGTAAATAATCTCTATCCGTCACATGGACTCTTTTGGAAAAGATCGGTTAATATTTAGGGGATGAAATGGACCAAAAACTTTATTTTTGTCGGTTTTTCTGATCGCTCCAGAGGCCGCAATTATGGCCCAAACACGAATTTTTGCATGGAGAAGCGGTCAATATTTAGCGGGTCAAATGGACCCTAACTTTTGTGTGAAAATTGACAACATTTGTATTCTATAGCGTATATATTTACTACTGAAGGACGTAGACCCGAGAAGTTGATAGTATATCCAAGAGGAGGGGTTGATCTTTTAATTGATACCAATTATATTGTCGTAGGTACTCCGATGCGGGAGTTACACTTAAATATTTACAGGTGCTTACGTATTCAGATATTATTTAATAACCTAATACCACACTGGAGGGCGGAAATATAGCGCGGATCGCTTTGAAATGTTCCATGAGGTTTCAGTTATGGTCAAGGACAACGCCTAAAATGTTAGGTGATGATCAGATAATAATTTTTCGGATGAAGTGGACCGAAAACTTAATTATTTGTACTTTTCAAGTCGAAAGCCGAACATCACAACACAATCCACGGTGAAGGGAATCTGGACAAGTATGTAGAGGGGCTGTACTGATTATTAGTAACATTTTCTGACCACTAGCCAGTCAAAAGTGTGCAAATATCGCAAAATATTGCCCAATCTCAAAATATAGAACCACAGAAAGTTAGATTTTCATGGAAGTTGTGTAGGGTATCGTATGGTCGGCCCCGTCCGACTATACTGCTCCGCTCACTGGTTTTTAAAATACTTAACCATTTTTATCCAATATGCGTAGGTCCCCAAAACTACAAAATAGAAAACAAAAATAATATTCGTCAGTGAAATACATTGTATAACAAAAGATCCAAAAAATTGTCTGGCATAATAACGCCCATGCGTAATGTAGCCGTAATTTAAAGACCATTATTATGGCTATTATATTTATTATTACATGTAATTTTTGTACGCATGCGCGTAGATTTGTATTGTCTCCCAAGTACATGCGAGACATACATACGTTCACAAATACACAACTCCTCAAGTTGTTTATTGTTCTCTACAACAAATAATTAAATGACAGACAGTGTTGCCGTAGTGCGATTTCTATTTGGTCGGACGTTTTATCAAAAATTCAACTTTAATCGGTTTTAAATTATTGATTCAAGTTTAACATCTTTCCGTTGGCCCTAAGTTTCACATCTTTCCATTATATTTTTTTCTTGGCAAAAAAAAAAAAAGTTTCACCTTTTCAACAACTTCAATTTTTTGGTCGGATTTCCCGTGAAATAATTTTAATTGCTACATGGTAAGCTTTTTGGGCGCGAATTGTACAATTGCAATGCCATCAAATACCTGGCCCATTACAACTTTTTTTTAACTGACAAACAGAAAATGTGACAAGGAGAGTACTTAATAACAACATTGGCACGGGGCAATGAGGCAACAACAACACCTTAGCCATGTACATGGAGTTGATGACTTTTCATCAAATAAAAAGTGTTTTCGTTCGCGAATATAGTCAGGCATAACGTTAACCGTTCACTGCAAAACGAAGTTGCGGAGACAATGGAAACTGAACGTCAAGGTGGGCAACAGAATGGGGCCATATTTTGTGGGGTTTTTCTTAGTTTTTTTTTATTGACTGACAATTGTTGCCACACAAAAACGAGAGAAGAAAACAAAGATCGTCAGCGCGTCGCCAAACAAATTGCAAACAAGCCAACAAGCAATGAATGGTGAATGCCGCAAGGTAAATTATGTTTGAAATGGCACGCACAAAGTTGAATAGAATAGAATAACCCCCCAAAATCAAGGTAATTTTTGTTTTCTTACTTTGTTTCGTATTTTTTTGTGCAAATTCTTGGCGGTTTCTATGTTTTAGATATTATTATACATGCTTCGAAATTCCTAAAATAGCTAAAAATTATCTACATTCGTTTGGAGAGTACGAATGTGAGTCAGAAGATAATTAAGATTTCTTAATTGGATATAAGTTTCGCCAAAGCAATGTTCCAAAATAGTCATATCTTTTCAAACCATTTACATCGTTATCTCTTGTTTTATTTGCCAAAATGGTTTGTTTACTTAATTTTTTTAATGAATGAAATCGTAATAAGATCGAAAATTAAGTTAACGTGCAGGGGTTAATGATGTGGATTGTATAATAGCAATTTTGGGTATGTGAATGGCTTGTTTTTCTGAAATATACAGTAGTGGTTAAACAGAGTCAAAATTTTTTCGAAATACTCGCCTTTATACATTATGTGTCAAGTCAAAAATGGATCTCCATAATACAATTTTTGCAAATTATAGAATCAGGATTTGAAAATGTGGTAAGGTCCCCCAGAGCATCCAAATAGGATCGATAATTTTATATGGAGAATACGTTAAAATATGAACCTATATTGAAGATTTTCTGTCAGGAGACATTTTCTTCTCTTGAACTATCACCCAAAACAGTACAGGAATTTGTTAATATTCTTCTAGGAAATATTGTATCATTCAAGAATACAGAATATCAAATGACGAATATAGCAACAAATATCTGCTAAGAAGTATTTAAACCTCCAAAAACCCTTGTTACCCAATTACAGCCCGTCAAAATACCAAAAACAGGTCATAGGACCTCTGACGAAAACCGTTTCCTTTGTAGGAAGGCCCGAGGAATGGCCTTTAGATATAGCTCCCATATATAGTTTCGGCCGATTTTAGGTAAATGGTGCACCAAAGTCCCTGAAAATCATTTGATTTACACGAATTTTGGCATAGCGTATTGAATTAAGTCTAGAATGACGTGTGCTAAGTTTCGTAAAAATCGGTTCAGATTTAGATATAGTTCGCATATATACTTTCACCCGATTTAAGGTAAATGGGGTACCAAAGTCCCTATATATCTTTCGATTTGCACGAAATTTGGTATAGCCGAATGAATAAGGTCTAGAATGATATGTGCTAAGTTTCGTGAAAATCGGTTCAGATTCAGACATAGCTCCCATATATATTTTCGTACGATTTACGGTAAATGGGGTACCAAAGTCCCTATATATATTTCGATTTGCACGAAATTTGGTATAGCCTTCTGAATTAGGCCTATAATGATGTGTGCTAAGTTTCGTGAAAATCGGTTCAAATTTATATATAGCTCCCATATATATTTTCGTCCCATTTACGGTAAATGGGGTACTAAAGTCCCTATATATCTTTCGATTTGCACGAAATTTGGCATATCGTAATGAATTAGGTCTAGAATGATGTGTGTAAAATTTCTTAAAAATCGGTCCAGATTTAGATATAGCTCCCATATATATGTTCGCCCGATTTAATGTAAACGGTATACCAATGTCCCATATATATCCGTCCATTTGGGCGAAATTCAACACAGTGTACTAAATTGGGTCTAGAATGATGTATGTAAAATTTCTTGAAGGCCTATCTGACCAGATTTAGATATAGCTCCCGTATATATTTTCGTCCGATTTTATGTAAATGATGCACCAAAGTCCCTTCATATCTCTCGATTTGCACGAAATTTAGCACACATCATTCTAGACCTAATTCAGAACCAATTCAGCTATACCAAATTTCGTGCAAATCGAAAGATATATAGGGACTTTGGTACCCCATTTACCTTAAATCGGACGAAAAGGGTTCATCTATTGAATATATCCAAAGTGGTGAAGGGTATCATATAGTCGGCCCGTCCGACTTTACTACTTTCCTTACTGGTTTTACTGATCGACTTATGGGTCTCTTTATACCCTTCACCACACTGTGGTACAGGGTATTATGTCTTTGTGCATATGTTTGTAACAGGCAACAATAATCGAGCTAGACCCATGGTTCCTTTTGAGAATATACATAAAATCACTTTCTGTGTCGATGACGGCTATTTAGCAGTTGTTGCCGCCCTTTTTCTCTTTTGTAAAGGTCCGTGGGTCCTTTTGGAATTTCCAATATTTTCTCGCCCCGAGCTTCGCCTCCATTAGTCGATGAATTCTAGCCGACGTGAGTTCTGCAGTGTCCTTTGAATTCGCATTCATCAGCGTTTTATGGGTCTAATTTTTTTAGTTTACCGGACGGACCATTTTCGTCGATCACAGCAGAGTTCTTCTTTGTAGTACCTCCTGACACCTTGGATATTAGACCAACCTCCCTCAGTTAGTCTAGTGTTAGTCTCCTTCAAATTTGGATTGTCTCCGCTTTCTCTTTATATCAGCCGACTCTTCTTTCTTCAGGCCTTCAGTGCTATTTAAGGACCCAAATTCAAGTATTAACAATTCCCATTTCAATTCGCAACTGTCCAGATTATTGAGATGACCTTCTTGCACCACTTTTTACATAATCTTATTTTTGATCGTAGCCATCACCTCCTTGTGGGTTCTTTTTTTGGTTTATCGAACGCACTATTTTCGTGGATTACTGCATACCAGAGCTCTTCCTGCGCTTGAAACGACGGCCATTTATCAATTGCTGCTGCTCTTTTCCTCTTTTTGGGATTCTCGTGTTTACTCGCCTGGTGTCGGTCGTCTTCTGGATATTAGAACCAGCTTCATAGCACTCAGTCGATCGATTCTCCTGGCGGACACCTTCAACTCTTTATTGGCTTCACTTTCTCTCCGTCGTCAGACGACTCGCGTCCGGAGACCCAATACTCTCAGCCGCTTCCGAAGAAGTGGGGAAAGGTCAGGCTTATATTTTTTGAGCATAAGTATGCTGTTCGAAATTTGTTTTCCGATTCATCTTGGCCAGTTTTTATCCCGGATATCTGATTTTCTCTTTTCCCGAACAAAGCTATGTCTTTGTTCACTTCTTTTATTATATTGTCAGTCTCTTCATTCCTCCGGCATTCTAAGTCGGTTATCTTGTTCTTACTCTAGTGTTCAGACAAGGAATTTGAGTCCCCGGCTGTCTCGGAAGGGGGTTGAAATTGCTCTTTCCCTGTATTTCTTGAACTCACATCATTTTTTTTAAGTTTTCTGCTTGCTTGTAGCGATACCTTGACAACAGATGCCAAGACATCCAAATCTTTAAGATATGTTTGCCCACCATCGCAGAATGACGACGGAATGCGACTCGTGGGCAGATCAACGACACCCGCCGGTACTGAGTTCTTTAGGCTCTGCACCGTAACATTATTCTTCTGATTTCTTCCATGCTTGCTACGGAATGTCCCCGAAGTCCGTTTTGGTCGGAGGGGGGCAATATTCTAAATTTTGGCGGTAAAATTGTCCCATAACATCCTGATTTAACTGATTAAAATAGATTTGTATGATCATCCGCCACCTGGCACGTGGCCGGTAGGAGACTGAAAAATTTTCTAGATCATTGGTGGGCATAAAAATATTGAGAGTAAATGTGGTGAGCGTATCTGAGAATTCATCATTAAAACAACTGACGAAAAGGAGACACACGAGAATCAGTATTTAACATATAAAGGAGAGCTCACTAACGGTAGCGTATATGGCCAGTTTCGTCTGTCTTTCAGCAAAAACAAAAACA